GCAGTGGAACGGGTATTTCCAAAATGCTACGCCGATCTAGAGCCTATAGGTCGTCGAATACGACGCAACTCTCCCGATCAACATAGAGCTTACATGGAAGGACCAATGTACGGATATGATGTATAGCGGGTGTATACTGATATCCACATGATTTTTGTATAATTTATACGGTTGAAAAAGTTCTGAAGATCTAATATTTAATAAGTTAATGGCCTATATTAGGGATATACGTTTGTACTAAAGGGCTGCATGAATGCACGAACAACAAACTGATTCACTCACAACAAATTTAAGCATGCATACATTCACGCCGCTAGGAGAACAAATCTCGTGTCTGGGTAAGAAAAAGACAGAATCTCATGAATCAGAACAACAATGAGTTCGCTCAACTCAGCATTCTCACAAGCAATGATCCACCCTCGGCATAATTCCTTAACCTAAGCTTGGGTTGGTGTGAATTAATTCTTCCCAGAAGGAGGTCAGTTCAAAATGGCTCCTCGACGAGTATGGTCGCGCTGACCTGTCGAGTTTTTATAAAGCAAATATTAAATTAAAATACACACAAAAATGATATCGTTTCCTTAGTCAGCCCTATTCTGCATTTCGACTCGAATCGAAATTTTCTCCGTTTGGCAACTTTGGTATTCTGCGTTCCGTTTCCTTTGGATCAATCTTCGAAATTTACGATTATACATAATCTACATTTCGATCGTAGTTCCATTTTTCTAAGTTGCAACTTTGCTGACGCAGAACGTTTCGATTGTTATTTTCGTGGGTTTAAATAATAAAATTTTATTAAAAAAACTTAAGTAAAATATACTGTGCATGATTGTAAAAGCCATCATAAATTAATTTTCTCGATTTCTGTGTTTTCGCGGGCGGTAATACGGGCAATACGAAAAATTGGGGGTACTGTTTAGTAAGTGGCCCACCTATTTCGGGGTATTGCGCCCAAAGGGGTGACCCGATCCAAAAAAAATTGCACACACTTGTAGCCAAGGGTCTACCCATTATTTTAACATCCACTATTGTAATTTTTGGTCACTAATTTATTTACAAATTGGGTTTGAAATATGCTCTTTTTTGTAACATTTGGAAATTAGCGTACATTTATCACTCCTATTCTCCTTAAAGCAGCCACTTCACCAATTCATTTTTGTATTCCCCTTCACTTTACACTTTACTCGATTAGTTATAACTTGATTTACGACTTTAGTATTAACCAATTAATCACAATTCATTAAATAAAACACCTTCAAAATCACGCGTCTGACTTTGGTTGCACATGCAAATTAAATGGCGGAGTTCAGCTGTCAAACTCCGAAATATGCAAAAGAATGAGAGACAAAAGAAGATAGGATATAACCCAGTAAGCATTAAAAATATACAAAGGTGTTCTCTGCAAAAGGTGTTCAGCTCCTTTTATTCGCAAAACAGAAAGGAGAATTCTACTGCCTGAGGGTTATAATTCCTAAGTGCGGCCGAAGGCCGCCTACGCAGAAAGGTGTTCTCTGCAAAAGGTGTTCAGCCCCCTTTCTTTGGCAACACAGAAGAGAATTCTACGTAGTGAGGGTTATAATCCCTAAGTGCGGCCGAAGGCCGCCGACGCAGAAAGGTGTTCT